GACAGGGGACACAAGTTACATATGCTTGCGCTGTTAAAATATTAGTAAAAAAATCTCAGGCTGCCTGGGATGTGAGAGAAATACCAAGAGAAGTAGTGAACATAATAGAAGGTGAATGAAATTAAATACAGGCACATTGATGTAGTTTACATAATTTCAGCTCTGTAGGCCACCAAATTAGACTTAAACATTCAGGATGAAAATCAAAAGCAAACTTTCAGCTTTAATTCAAGGAGTTGAATAGCTGCATAGACTGTTGATTTACAGGCTAATTAATTCCCATTATATATAGATATATGCAGTCCGTGTGAAAAGCATAGCACCCTAATATTGCACTTGTACCACTAGCTCACAGTTAATCAGGATGCGTTGGTGGTCTTAACTGTGGCAACTGTAATCGATGTAACAACAAACCAGAGCTCATGCCCGATGAAAAATGTAATCAACGTGAAAATAGGCATGCGAGTTTAAAGGTCAGAGATATAACAAAAAAACCTATTCAGCTCCTGCAGCCACACTCAACTTTCTGAGCTGGAAACAATTATGCCTCAAGGACATGAGTCTGCTTGAACGGCTACACAATATAACAAGCCCGTATAGATGTTTGCTTAAAGGTCAAAGTGGTGGTGATTGTACCTTCCTATGTTTTCTTAATAATAGGTGTTTTTGGGCTCAAAAGTCTGTAATAGCATGAACTTCAACGGACTGAAATGCATATCCACGTCCACAGCCCACATCATTTTCAGCACGGCGTTCTTTAACTTGAATTGAATTTATATTCCATTAATAACAAATCATCTGAGAAAAGAATATTTATGCCAACGTCTGCATTGTGTTGCGAATCTGTGACTTTCGGTTGGTTGCAGAATGAATAAAAATACTGAATTCCTTGACATTCATCGCTATGACAACAACAGATATCAAAAACCAGGTGGCTGAAAATAGAAAAGGAGCCTGCGTGAAACAATAATGTCAGCTTGTTTGCTCTGAGGCCTTTTAAATGCCAGATGTGTGGTGCCAGACGCCAGCGTGCCAGGACGCTGCTTTCCTCCAGTCAGCTGATTTTTCAGTGCAGAGCTGCAGCCGAGCGTACATTCAGCTCAGTTTCCCTGTGTGGGACCTGGGGTTACAGCACGGCACACGGCAGACGCTCACACAATGCGACACTGTTTACCGCCATTGTGTGTACAGCTGGCTGAATAACTGCAGCCTTAGTGTCTTGTCAGTTTAATAGACAGACAAAGGGGCAGTGGCACTTAGAAGAGCTAATCCTCTTTATCGACTGCCAGGTGACAAAAAGTAGATTTTCCAGTATCATGTCAGCAGTAAACTGAACCTATTACTTGCTTAACTTGTAATGTTTAGTTTAGTTTAGTAATTTAATTCAAGCCTCTAGCATTTTTAAAAACAATATTAAGAATGTACAGTCATGCTTACTTCTCTGTGAGATACCTTCTCACAACTTAATAGTACATTTTCTGATAAAATTATAAAGTGCTTCACATTTTACTTAAAAACCAGCACACATCTGTACAAGTACATGTGTCCATGGAACAAGGCAGGAAGAACGGGGGATGCAAGTCCTTAATTAATACAATTTGGATTGTGTTAGTAAAACTAATTCTGAAGTTAATTAAAAGGTAATAAAAGAAATAATCACCCTTTGCTGCGCAAGACTGGATAATACATTTAAAAAGGAGGTAACGAGAGTAGAAATATTAGATTTTTGCACATTTATGTAGGTTAGTGGCTGATTTTATACAGTAATGGTAAAAAAAAATGATGTCAGGGTTCCTTGTCCCCTCTGTTCAGTCTAGTCTGTGCCTGTTGTGTGCTTCCTGTTTTATTTTGATAGTCCCTGTCCTGTGTGCAGTGTGTCTGGTTTTGCTTCCCCTTGTCTTTTTAGTTCTGATTTCTCCCAGCTGTGTTTCTCTCCTGTCTCCCATTCCCTGATTGCTCCAGTGTGTATTTAAGCCCTGTGTTTTCCTTGCTCTCTGTTGTGTTGTACCCTCACCATGCTGTGTCTTCACCTCTGTGTCATGATAGGGTTCCAGTTCTCTGTTCATAGTTTAGTTTTCTAGATTTCCCTTGTTTCCTCAGTGATTTGAGTTTTTTGTTTTGTTTCCTTGTGTTAATGAAGAGTTTTTCCAGCAATAAAAGCTGTGATTTAAGTTTAACTTTTCATTTCTGAGTCCTGCGTTTGGGTCTTTCATCCTGCCTGCTGCACAGCACCCGACATGACAAAGGATATAATAATAATTAGGTCTTAAAATGATTAAAATGCAAGCTTGGGTGAATTACTCAACAGGACATGTTATTCTGTGACATTATTTATTTAAGAAAACTAAAGTGAGATGTGGAAGCAGTGTGTGAGTACACCTTTACTGCTTCCATAGGAATTAAGAAGTAAGTGGCAGTTGATTGCTGCTAATCGAATGCAATTTGTTGAAAGAAAGAAAGAAACTAAATGAGCTTGTGAGATTCAAAATGCAAATACTGGTTAAAAACATTACCAAAATCTTAGTGGTGGACTTTGTCCTTCTGGCGAGTGGGCCACCATCCAATCATAAAGGCCACGGTCTCCCCAGCGTTGAGATGGATAAAATTTTGAGGCATCATTACTGACAGAAACATTCAGGGTGTTTGGCAAAGAGTGATTGCACTCCGACTGCAGTCACCATGTCAGGCCAGAGATTTAAATCAAGGCCCCAATAGTGGCCCAACAGACAAGAAGGCATCGAAGTGCAAGACTTAAAAAAAAAAAAAGCAAAACCTTTAGTTGAACATTAGCATAATTTGAATTCTCAGTTTTTGAATAAGAACTGGAAGAGCAGGTGCTGAGGTTACTATAGTACAGGAATTAAATAGTAAGCATGCAGTTCTGTGCTCAAGCCTCTTTAACAGTGAATTATGGATGCATGGGTGAATAGGTGTTTGTGTAAAAAGTAGGTTGCTTTACGAATGCATCCAGTTGTTGAGTCTTAATGCATCACTGTAGTTCAGGGTATCCCGCTGTGAAAGATATTCCTATTTCACAGGGGAAATTAGCACGAAACAATCTGCCTGACCATCTGGAATATTTCTGTGTGCTTATTTGTTTGTGAAACTGCACATCTGTGTGCATGTGTGCAAACATGTACAAGCTGACTTCCATTTGCTTCCAACACCTGAGGGCAATAACTTACCC